CTGTGCTCTGAGGAAGGTGAGATCCAGCTGAAGAAAATCTAATCGGGTGCCACAAGTGCGCTAGCATAGATTTGGAAAACCCTAGGATGAAGACACTAGGAAAGCCCCAGAATGAAAAACTGAAAGGGCTGGGGTTGTTTAGTCTAGGAAGAAAACGACCAGAGGTGGCATGATAACAGCCTCCAAATACATAAAAGGCTGCTGCAAATTAAAACGGAGTGGTATCATGTTTTATTTGTGGTGGATAGGATGAAATGAAAAGAGTTTGCATCTTTTACTAGGCTAAACCAATTGATCCGATAAACGTCGATGGATTTGAAGGCATATAAAGCTTTATTAAGCTTGAAACAGAAGCTGTGAGTAAGACCAGCTTTGCTCCAACACTACTCCTAAGGATGGCATTTTAGAACAGCATCGTTTTGGCACCATCTTAGCACAGCAGCAGCTTGTCCAGGCTGCAGGATTCCTGTGTTCTTGCTCATTCTTTGAGAAGAGATTAGGCAAATTCAGCAAATTCAGCATTAACTGCTTTGACTTAGACCAGCTTTACTAACTCTAAGTCCTAGTGCTGTAGAGACAAGACTTTGGCCCAAACCCTCAAAAAGTCTGTATCCATTTGTTTAGACACCCAGGTTGAATACTTAAGTAGCACTTAAAAAGCTGCTGAGCTGCCACCCAATTCTGTAACTACCTAGGTGTCTGTGGGTGGGCACAGGCAATTTATCCCACAGGTCAGCTTGTTGTGCCAAGCTATGAGAGGGGTCTTGCATCGGGTATTCGCTGTGCTACCAGGTTCCTCCCTCCCGAACCATGAATGTATAAACCAGAGGAAATGCCCTCCGCCCCCGCATTGTATTTGGACCATCACCACAGACTGGCTGAGGGGTTAAGCGTCTCAGCTGTGATATGACAGACACCATTCAAAACTGTCTTTTTTCCCCTGAATAGAGACGTGAACAGGAACTTTAGGCTCTGGCATCCTAGGGTGAGCCCTCTAATAGCTGAATTATGTAGCAACTTGCTCTGCCTAACAAATAATCGAGCTGATACCAAAACTGGAGGCTGATTCACATTATTTCAGCTGATTGAGTAAACAATATGCGTGGAAATAAGATTGCATAAAACCTATGAAAAGATTTAAAACCACTTTTTAATGAAATTAGGTCAATTTGAGTCACCTCTCTAGCAAATATAATGAGTTGGAGATTCTGCAGGGCGATTTATATTTTAAAAAAGAGATTAAAGGAGCATTGCAATATGGTTATGCTCCTTTATACCTGTGAGAGCATGGCCTGAAGTCTGCTGGGCTCCCACTAAAAGAACTGTGGCAAACTAATTGAACTCTGGGGTGCAGGGTCAGGCTTTTAAAAAAAATAATCCTTGCAGTTTTCTAGAATTAATGTGGAATTAATTTAACTGCATACCAGTTTTATATTGCCAAATGCAATTAAGAAGCTTTTTCTCATTTATTCACCATATTATTGAGGAGATTAAGATCCAGATAGTCTATCCTTGCAGTTGCGCTTAAAAATAAATATAATAAAAATACCACAACGGTATTCACAGTCAGCACACGAAAAGCAGTTGCTCGGGATCTTATTTGCTAGTACGTGATTTAAAAACACAGTGAATAAGCCTTACAGATTCAGGTACATTTGTTTAGCTCTGTTTACTAAAATGAACATATACAAAAGTGAAATACATCCTGGATTACAAGTATATACTGGAGTACAATGCAGTTGTAAGTAAACTGCGTTGAACATTGGACATGTCCTGGATACACAGTTTTTAAACCATTATTGCATGCTTTCAAAAAGCAAATCCAAGCAAGACAACAGTAACCCAGTAAGCACTAAGCTTTTAGCAGCAGAACATTTGCTTATTTCCCCATCTCTTGAAGACCTGAGGCTTTTACTATTGCAAGACCAATTTATGCTAATGGCATTTTGTGATGTATCTGTTTGTTACTTACAGCCACATGAGTAAGTCCTGTGTAGAGGTAGTAAGAATTTTGCCAGAGAAAAGCTCTTGTATTTGATGCTGAATATATCAACATAAGAAATTGGACTGGGGGTGTCTGCTTTTGCAGTCGGTTTCTATATGTATCGATGGTAGTTACGCTGTGGAACTCCTGTACAGTTCATCAAAATTTACTCGCTCTTCATCTTTTAATAGTATTTCCTTTTCTGCTGCAGTTACAGTATTAGAGCTACATACATAAATTCTCACCAGATATTTAACTGCACATTTACACTTTTTGTTCTTAAAGTGTTTTTGTTCTGTTGCTTACACTGGTCATTAGCTGTGTCCCCAAATTTTCATTAGAAGCAGCTAATTTTTCCACTTGGTTAGCTAAAGAAACCTCTATATGTTGTTTTTCCTGAAATAACATATGTATATTATATTATATTATATTAGTTATTTCTCTTGAAAGAATATTCAGAATTGGTCTTTGCAAGTATCTGATACAATTCACCTGAAGAATTTAAATGCTCAGTAACAGAAGCTGCTGCAAGAGAAGCTGAATAAAGCAGGATAGTTGCTTAATCCATTATCACGCACAGGAAAAGACATTTTAATGTAAATACATATGTAAATATGTTCAGAGGAGCTAAAAAAACCCTAGATATCTGAGTCTCTTGAATCAGCAGAAGCCTGTCACAAAACTTTTTTAGGAAATTGTGTCTTAAATTTTATTCACAGAAAAGCTGCTTTTAATACATGGAATCAAGTAGGATATTACTTTGTTCTCTTAATCATGCTGTACATTTGAATTTTGGTAACAATTTCTGACTCAGCTTGGTTCTCAGCAATTGTCAATAGCTGCAAGCCCTCCCTTGTAATCCTTAATAATACATCAGTGATGGGTGCTTCTGCCTTCACCTCTTCTGTTTGAACTCGGGAGAGCGAGATTATTGCCTGCCCTAAGAGACTTTGCTGCTGTGTGCTGTCCGCAGCAGAGCTGTCAACTGCAGAGAAACGATCCTCAGACAACTGGATAAACCAGATATTGACCCTGACGGAGCATGTGGATGGAGTTAAGGTCAGAGACTCAAAGACTGCAGCACCGGGGCCTTAAAGATTTGCACGCAGGATTATCCCGTGTGCTGTGTATCGCCGGCTTCAAGGGAGATACCTGCAAAATTAAAGGTGTACTTAATTCTTTGTGGAACCAGGCCTTGATAATCCTGTAAGCACATGCTAATAGGGTTTCACAGGATTTACTGTCTCTTCATTCCCTCCTGCAGAAAATAAATACAGAAAATAATTACTTAACTTGCTACTTATATGATTAAAAAAAACAAAGAGGTTTTACATAGACTGAAGAATGTTAAGATGAGCTCCAACATCCTGCCAGACTAGATCTGATACCCTCTATAATTTATGTCACCATATCCTGATGGAGATTAAAATAGATTTAAAAAAATGCCTGATTCTCATTGCCACCAGTGTTACACACAGTTTTCTAAAATAAGTACTGAAGAATAATTCAGAGTCTAAATGCTCTCTCATGTTTAAGTTTGTACCCCAAGAATTAAATCCACTTTCTCACAAAGGACCAAAAATAACAACAGTTCCATCTAAACTGTGTGTTGGAAGTGCAGAAGGTTCTTCTGGGCTGGTGCTCCTTCTCTTCACAGGGCTGAAGCACACCTTTAATCCTTGCAGCTGCTTTAGAATTTTATTTTACCATATACTAAGTTACTTTTCTGTATTCACAGCAAAAAGGTTTATTGTTTTAATCTGCAGCTTTACATTAAGCATGTTACAATTGCAAAGTACGTAAAATATATTTGCAGTATAGCTTGTCAAGATAATATTGAAAACTTTTTGTCAGTTTTCATTTAATTTTATGTATTTTTAAAATATATTTCTAAAGATGAGCAACTGTGAAAGAGCTAAAAGAAGGCCATTTACATAGACATCAGATACAAGGAAAAACACAGTCTTCCAAGGGGTGAACATCTAATGTAATATTTACATGAACTCCACTCAGATTTACTAATGCCATTTTTGCAGTGGTTCTCTGAAGAACCAAGAATCACAACCAAATGTTACTGGCAGAAATCGTCAAGCAAAGTGGATGTCAAGTATTTGCCAAACTAAAATTTTAAAATATACAGATGCCTATGTTAGCCATAGAAATGCTTCACACCCAGGTAGGCGCCGCACAGCATATGATTTTCTGCATTTATGTCAATCAGCCGTTCTTTAAGCAAAGCACAGGCGCTCCTCTAAGCACACACTTAACTGCTTTAAGGAATCAGACCTCTAAGCAGAAAAAAGAAAATGTTGTGGTAACAGTAACACGTGATGCAACTTGCCAACCACAGTGACACGGCGCAGCCTGAAGTTCAAGTATGTGCAACTTTCTATACCCCTAAAAGTCTTCAGAGCAATAGCAGGAAATCAGCCACCTCTAAGCAAAAACTTGCTCATGGGGAGTGATATTTTTTCTAACATCCCTATCATGATTTCTTCGAAACATTCACATGCGCTTGAAAATGGGTGTATTACTGTACTATCTGCTTGACATCTACATCATCAGTGGCTAAATCCCTCCAATTGCATTAGATCAGCCACAGCTAAACAGATAATTACCTCCTAATTAACAAAAGACGGGCTAACAAAACCAGAACTAGTTTTTGTTAAATGTACTGCTCTTTCCATACTCTCCCTTTAGCCTCTTTGTATCTTCTTCTTTAAGCTGTTTCTTCCTTTTCTCAGATTTTGCAGCTTGTTCCTTCCTTTCTTGATTTTCCTGCATTCAGACAGAACGACAAATAGAAAAATAAGTAAGAGGAGTTACTGAAAGAAAAGCTGGTTAAGAAACACTCCATTTGCAATTAATAGCTATTCTGAATATGCCCTATGCACACTTAAAACTCTCAGCTGCTGGGGTTTGAGGGTAAATAGAACAGAGCTTCCTGCTCAGTCCCTTTGGCCTTCTCTGTATGATGATCTTACCAGCAAACTATTCCGTTAGCTTTAACTGGAATGTTCAACTATGGATTGAAATGCATTCTTCATAATTACTCCCTTTGTCCACAAACCAGAACATTAGTTTAACCTAATTAGCATTCTAGAGATTTATCTCATAGCAACCTTGATTTTATATTGTTTGTATTCAGGGATTTCTAACAGAAATTTCAGGAACTCTTCAACTGTGTTAAACAGCATTTCACAGTTTCTCTTCAGGCACCCGTTAAATTTGGCAGCTGTATTTCTGCATTAGTGTTCAGTGGCAGAGTCCCAGCTGGGTCTCTGTTGGTACCAGTCACACAACTGCCAGGATGGCATAAATCCTGTTGGGGTTTACACAGATAGGCAGGACTCTGGTTTCCACAGAGCTGCTGGTACTGGGATGATATGATTAACAGAAGGAAGAGAAAGAAATTGAAAGATTACTCCTAGTAAGGAAGACCTTTACTCAGTGGAAGAGTATTTCTGGGTTTTGATAAGTAGCACAATCATAGGAGAGGGTAGTTCTGAACAACTGGGGTAACTGCAGCCGAACATCATGATGACAAAAGCCATTTTCTTAAAAGCTTATGCAGTCTTTGATCCAGAGCTGCAGTCATCATCAGAACATTGCCACCACCACCTGGAAGCTTGCCTGCTTTTGATTGCAACCAGTCAGTAGCTTATCTACATGTTGTAGGTAGATCAGTAGTTATTGGGTCTGCTGTCATAGAGATTTGTGATGTTAAGAGGAGAAGGATACTGTGTCATATTACAAAATTTAATAATGTCCAGGAAGATGGTGATGACTTGGTGCAGATAGGATTCTTGATGAGACATGTCTGGTCTCCTTTTCAGAGAGTTTGGCAGCAGCAAAGACATTTTCCCCTCATAGTGATAGATTGCTAGATAGAAGGTTGATTGCTACAGATCATCTGCCACTATTTCCATAAGATGGCGTGAAGAAGTCCCAAGAAAATGCACAAGTTTCTTAGAGCCTTTATAGAAAGCAAAAGCCTAGGATCCTTTGGTCCAAAGAAATTTCCAGACAAATAAAGAAAACTTGTGAACATTAATAGAGCTAATCTCTCTGAAATATAGGAGCATTATAGGCTCAATGTTATGGGGACCTTCACTGGATGCCTAAAGGAGAGAAAAATGGTATACTCTTGACAGAGAAAGAAAATTATATATTTGCTCTGAATGGAGGGTGCTTCTGAAAGAATGAAGTACAGGTGGTGAAGTCTTATGGAGAAGCCAAAAGCCTTTCATCACTGTATGCCTTCTACGGGCTTGCCTGATAAATTACTGCTGTGTCTTAGCATAATGTCTTTGAGATATTACGGCTCTTGAGAGACTTGCAGATCTGTGTGCCCTGGGAGAACATCTCTATGTAACATGCTGCAGGAAACAAAGAAGGTGAATTCAGAGATACATTTGCTACTTGAGCAGCACACACACAGAACCAAGAACAAAACCACATTAGGAATAAATTTATGGATTAAGCAAGCCTGAGATGAATTGTTCAGAGAAATTTAAAAAAAACCCAAATAACGATTTGACACGGGCACACTGTTAACAGAGTTTCTGCAACACAAGAAAGCCCAACAAGGTAAAGTGGTAGCAAGGCAGAGGAATGAATATTCATAATCTCTTCTCCATCTCCTGGATTACTGAAGGCAACTGTATGGATGAGATTAAATGAAAGAGGGATGTCACTTTGGATTTGCGCTTTGTGGGGTTAGATACTTGCTTGATCTTTGAATTAAAAGACGCTCCATGACAACTGCTTATCCCCACACTATCTAGAGCACACCCTGTTCCAACACCATATGCACCCTACTGAGGAGCAGCTGCTCCAGCCTCGCTCTCCTAGGGGAGCACTCAGCGCTGGCGGTATAGCCGCTGTCATCAACCGAGTACTTCCTAGAAGAGATTTTAACTTTTTCTTCCTCCTTTTCCTGAGATTAGATAGCCTCTTTGTTGGGAGCTCCCCTCGTTGAACAGCTGCAAGTGCTAAGGGAAATAAAATGTTTCTCCCCATCCCCTATAATCACACAGTGGTGTTTTCCCCTGCAATTTTACAACTCAGTTCTCAGTGTATCTCCAATTCTATTTTTTTGTCTTTGAGCTGGGAAGCTATTTTATCCCCATCTCCTTCCTCCTGCCATCTGCTCCTTCTATTTTTTGAGAATTGGTGAAACAGTTATCTGTCCTAGGTGACGAACCAGCTTTTTTTCACTGTGTCAGTTTTGGGGATCATTTGGGTGTTCAAAAAGCTTTTTTTCTTTTTTTTTCCATCTCTTCAAGTAGACTGAGAGGAAGAGTGCAGATTGTTGTTATAGTAATTTCACTTGTGTAGCTCAGGTTTTGTTACTTGATGGATAAGAGACCAGAAAGAACCCTCAGGGAATGGAGAAAGACTTTGTTTAACCAAAGAATTAGCAAAACAAAACCAAAATCTCTTAGGTAAGTTTAGGAGCCGTGATCACTGTTTATCAAAATTATTTCCCTTCTTATTTGATGTGAGAATGGAAAGATAGCAGTAATGGTTTTGGTAGTGCTAAGAGACCTGCTTTACACAGAAGACTCATCTCAAAAGTTAGACCTTAGCCTTAAAGCTTAACATCACATGGCACTGGGAAGAGATGATGCATGTGGCTGTTTCTAGTGTAAAAATCAAAATCACAAACCAAAAAGATGCTTTAAAAATTAAAACCTTCAACTTTTCAGCATGTTGCTGTTTCAAGCACAGACAATATCTTTACTACAGTGACAGGAAGAAAGTATGGCAAGAAGGGAGAGGAGATTACATTACAGGTCAGCAATGGAGGTAACAGAGATGCAAACAATGTGGCTAACAACTACGGTGCCTTTGAGGTGAGGTGCTGCTGAGAAATGGAACTGAAAGTAGGATGAAAGGGAGTTTATATGTTGGGTAGATAAAATGAAGCTTCTGTCTAGTTGCTTCAACCTGGCTGTGAACAAGCAGCACACAAAAAAGTAGTTTAAATCTTCTGCAGCTTGGACAGTGTCTTAGGACACTACACAACCTTTATTGGGCCCGTTTCTTAAAAGAACTGCAGTTGCTGGATTTACCCTTCACAGCAATTTTCCAGTGTAGCTCTTCACAGATGCTGAGCCACGATGTTCTTGACTCTTAATTCTTACCTTCCTGCCTGGATTTTCAGGAGCTCTAAGGGTCAAGTGTATTGCCAAAGGTTTCCAGGTTTATTTTGCAGACTCTGTGGTGCTACTGCATCGTTTCGGAGCCTGGGTGGCTGTATTGCTTGCAAAATTGAAGCCCAGTGCCTCACGGGTAGGAGGAGCATTACAGGATATATTTTTCATCTCTCATCTTCCAACACTTCCTCAGAAGCTCCTTTGTTTTCATCTGAAACTACGATCTGCCCTAAAGCACTCCTTCAGCCTCTCTTGCCTTGACATAACCCAGCATAATTGTCTGTATTTTTGCAATATTTCTCGTCATGTGGATGATTCCCTCTATAGAAGGCAGATCCAGTCTGGGGCTCTCCTGGAGTCAGCACGGGAGTCGGGGATTGCTGCTGTCAGAATATATAAATGTGAAGCCACTATCACCCGGCATTAAGAAGACACTAGAGGAAGTACATTAGTTCAGGTGTGAAGTATGTAGTAGGGGATGCAAAATGGAGGTTTATGGGAGGCTTCCTAGTTGTAACGGTGCTCTGCACAAACCGTTGTGGTGAAGTTGCTGTTTTCTTACTCCTTATTGCAATGAGTAGAGTATTATAAGCGAATAAAGTGCCGGATATAATCTCTTGGGAGATTTGTAGTTTTGTAGGGGACACAAAACATACTGTTTTGAACTAAGTAGCACAAAGAAATACCTACATGTAGTCCTATCTTCCAATTAGGCTTTGCTTGTTGGCAAATTTACCTTCTGCCTATTGGCAAAGACTATAAACCATGTCAGGTTGCTCATTCTTTCACACACCACTAAGCTCCTATTGCATTGAGGCCTGATTAATAATTTTACACTGAGAACAACAACTTGGAAGGTTCTTAAGTCTCCATAGCAAAAAAAAAAAAAAAAAAAAAAAAAAAAAAACCACATTTTATATTTTCCTACATGCTCATTTCTTGCTGCAGGTTGTAAGCAAATAAACAGTTACTTTCATTTACTCCTGCAGCCAGTGTTTAGGTAACCCAGCTTGGAGAGGAAGAAAAAAAAATTCTTGCTTGCTTAAAAAAATTAAAAAAAGTAGTTCTCAATCTATTTCTAAACAGTCACAAATGCAAACCACCTGTAAGGCCTTGAGGAAGATCTCTCTGAAGGTTTTCATTGTGTTAAATATATCTTCTAAAGACAATTTTTTTCGGTCTTCACAAAGGTAATCAGCAAGTTCTTCCTTCTTCTTTTCAATAGTGGCAAACTCCTTCTGCAGGTCCTTTGAAGCATCGATACTGCCCTGAGACACAGTTTGCAACACAATTCATGCATGTTAAGAAGTAGCATATTCTGAGCTGCCCAGAAGACTCAAGCCAGTTAACACAGAGCAGCCAGTTTTTAAAAAACTGACAATTAAGATTGGTTCACAATGTGTGATATTTTCTTCTTAATCAAACCATCTGCAATTCCCCTGGTTTCATTTGGCCCAAAGCAGCTCATTGTACGTTGCCACTTTTATCATACAATCATGTGGAAATTTGACATAACCTGGGGTGACTGATCAGGGGAGACACAGCACCAGGATTTCTGCCTTTTAGCTTTAGTTACGTGACCCTGTTCTGAGACCATGAAAAGCTAGGGTGTTTGGAAATATGTGAAAAAAAGAACAAAGTATATTGCAAATCTGTTCAGTTTTTTTCCCCAAAGAACAGTGAGACAAAACATGTTTCTGTACTGCACTGTGTGCATTTCTAGTTGCATCCTACATTTCATTTTTAAGGCCTTCCTTTCTGTTGCCCACGCACAAAGCTGACTGCTCCTCAGCTGTTTCCTTATCAGGATACTACATTACAGAAGTGGAGGAAAATCTGTGATGCTCCTTCTACCAGGGTGCAGAGGCAGTGTCCTTATGAGCCCTTTCCCATAGAGGTCTATGTCCATTTGCAACCTAAATTACAGTGCCTTTGGGAAGAGATTTAAAGTGTTTAGGAAGAAGGATGGCAATTGTGTCACACCTAGATTACCTACTTGAACAGATTTTGCATGCTGTATTTTTAAATCTTCTGTCGACAAAAATAAACGCTTCTCTATTTCCAAGAGTTTCTTCAAATTGGCACCTGCTTCAGCCCGTAAAACATCAAAGTGGATTCTGAAAGGTCCACAAAAGGGATGGTACATTAAAGGGAGAGTCTTTTGTTTTCATTAAGTTAAAAGATTATTATAAATACGTCATCTCTACAATGAACATAGAATTAATCGTCCAACCGAGACCCTGCTTTTGCAGGTAATTCTCCTCTGTATAAATCTTTTTCTATGTGCTCAAACCATCATCTGAGAAGGAAGCTGTGTTTTTGCCCTCACTACTTCCCTGAACAGGCTGGGGAAGAACCTCACTGTTCTAGTATTCAAAAAACTCCTCCAAAATTTCCAGTCTATTTCTGTTCATAGGCAACACACGCTCATCTCCCTTGTGCCAATACTGTCCTTACTCAGCTGGTTCTTCTCCCTCCTTGCCTTTTCTTGCTCGTCTATTTATAGTCCAAAATTGTATCTCTTCTCAGAGTTCATTTAGCTCACGTGGAGACCCAAACGTGAGCTAAACGTCGGTTACACTGCTGAA